GGGCATGCGAGCCAGCTGGGAAGGCAGCACGTGGAGGAGAGCACGCCTTGCCTACAAATTGTCAGTGATCCGTCCTCGGGGAAGGCTGGAGTTGGGCAGTTAAGACTGTGGCCTGGGTTTGCAGCCTTTCCAGCTGACCTGAGTGCTGTGAGCAGGGTTGTGGAGTGTGGGCCTGGTGCCTGACTTGTGTGCTTTTTGTTGTTCTTATGAGCTCTTATGAAGGTTTAGCTGCCCCAAACTTTAGTCCTCAGGCTACTTTGTGGCTTTATTTTGTCTTTAATTTTTTGAGACAGGGTCTTGTATACAGCGCAGGCTGGCCTTGAACTCAATATGTAGCCCAGGCTGGCCTTGAACTCCAGCAATCCTCCTGCCTCAGCCTCCCGAGTGCTTGGATTACAGGCGTGTGCCACCATGCCTATGACTTTAAAAACACATTCCGGCTAGTACAGCCAGTGAATGAGCTTCCACCAAAGTAAAACACTGAGCGGAGCTTTCTTTTTTCTTACATCAACAGGATAGTTCATCCTGTTTCCTAGAAAACAGGCCACTGTTCCTGTTCCCACAGAAGTCTAGCTCTGTGGCCCACTATACTTCCAGTGTGGCATCAGTAAGGTAATGTCTGTTTGTTTTCATTGTTGTTTTTGCTGCGGTCCAGAGCTGCTTCCTCAGGCCCGTGTGGGCCTGGGACGGCAGCCACGAGGTCAAGGGCCACCGTGGTGCACACTCCCCCGGGGCTCTGACAAGGACCTGAGCGCCCCAGGAAAACCTGCTTGAGCACCTGCAAGAAGATGGCTCTCTGGGCTCGCAGGCGGGAGAACCCTGCTCTCACCTGGGAACTGCAGGCTGGTGACTGTTGGGTGAAGAGCTGGGCCACACCTGCGCTTGCCGTGGCGTTGGTGCCGTGGTGTGGTGCAGGCTGCAGGCAGGCGCCGGTGCAGAGGGAGCCGGGAGCCGCGCTGCTGGGTGGGTGGGCGGCTGGGTGGAAGGTGGAAACCAAACTCAAAAGAGACACTAAGTACGCCAGTGTCACTTGTCTCCTTCAGCCTTCAGGCCGCAGGCGTGCTAAGCTGAAGTCACTGCTGGACCTGGCGTGAGCAGAGGGGAATGCTGCAGGCTCCCGGCAAGGCCCGAGCTCCGCGTGCGGTGGCTGACCCGTGCCCTGTGCGTGCCTCGGCGTCCTGCCACGGGGCCTCTCGATTGACTCTGTGCAACCTAAAGTAAAGATACAGTATTTTGAAATTTTCATTCTGATGAAATGGGGGTACTGGGGAAACCCAGAGCTTTTGTGCTGAGCTATAGCCCCATCTCTCCCCCAGTTATAGTTTGTTTTGAGACAGGATCTTACTAATTCACTAAATTGCACACACGGGCTTGAACTTGTGACCCTCCTGCCTCAGCCTCCCAGAGTGCTAGGATGACAAGGGTATGCCACCACACCACCTCTAATTTGCTGTTTAAGAATCATATGGTATATTGATATGAATTGGATAATACAACCTTGTTTAATGTTGAGAGTTAGAGCTTTTAAAAACCAAAAATCAACCAGAAATAATTTAGCTCTGAATGCCACAATTCCTTGTGTTACCTGAGGGCGAGGCCAGCGGCAGTCAGTGGAGCTTGGGAAGCACACACACCAGAATCCCTCGGGGACCCCTCCGCTGCGCCACGCCTGCTGCTGAGGATGAGCACAGCCGAGGGGCCAGCCCTACCCTGCTCACCAACACCCAGGGTTCCGCTTGACTCCCCCTTTTCCTCCCCACTCTGCTAGAACTTGGATGTGTCTGGTAAGAATGCCTGTCACTCATAAGGGGCTTCCGTGACTCACCTCTCATTTTATCTGAACTTCACAGTGCTGGGAAAAGGGCAGGGCTGCAGCTCAGCGTGGAGCACTTGCCTTGCAAAATCAGCCAGCAACAGCAGGGGCAGGCTTGGGCACCAGCTGACATCGCTGTAGCAGCCATTGTCATCTCTCCCGGTATCGTGCTGGGTTAGTCCACTCCGGTTGTTGAGGTCAGGCCTTGTTTGTTGGTTTCTTAAGCCTTCTTAGTTTTGGCTGGACAGAGGCTTGGAAGTAGACATTCTCAGAGGAGTGCCTGCGGTCCTGGGAGCTCGCTCTCGTGTTCTCTCTGGCTTCCTTCATGCCTGGCTCAGAAGCTCCGCGTGCTCTGCACGTCGTGCAGCCTCTTCCTCCTCAGTGCTCTGCTCTGCAGGAGCATTTGTGCTGGAGGACGCGTGGGCAGCCAGGCCTTGAGTCTCGGGTGCGTGGATCCTGTGTTTCTTACTTTCCCTGTTTAAGGGCTTTCTGACAACATAACATCATCTTTGGAGAGACTGAAAGGTTTTTGATTCTTCTAGCTCTTTGGGGCCCCAGGTGGAGAGGCACAGTAGTCAGTCAAACCAGCTCTCTCCTTTTTATTTTTTACAAGAACCAAGTTGAGACACTCAGATTGGTGTCCACAGCGCGATCCAGAACAGATTTGTTCATCCTTCCCCCCAGTTCTCCTTGCCCTGTGACGGATGCCCCTTACGTGGTTGCAGGCACACTGGGCCGGGAGTCAGGACCCCTGCTCTGTGGGGAAACCTGTCTAGTTCCTACCACTCATGTGGACCACATAGCCTTCCAGGCTTCACGCAGAGGGTCAGCAGCAACTTTTGTGACCATACACTTCCGGCAGGAATTATGTTCACGCTCGTCCACTTCATCAGTTCCGGCAGCCACTGGCTGGGAAAGATGTTCCGCTTCCTCCTGGAGCCACGGATTGCTCTCCAGGGGCCACATAAGAACAGTCCAGCTTCTGCTTGGCGGGTCACGTGGCGCTTTTCTGTCATGCCTGATTGTAAGAGAGCAGGTGGGAACACAGCAGGCCTCTTGCACGCTTGCCGTGGGCTCTCATGCTGTTCCTTTCAGCTCGTTCTACTGGCCAGAGAGAATCACACGACTACTGAAAGGGTGGGCGCGCTGGCCCACCTGAGACCAAGGGCAGCTCTCCAGCGCGTCCTGCTGTCATGCGCAGCGCGGCTCTGGGCAGCCAGGCCCCTCTCCACGCGGCGCCAGGAGTCTCCAGACTCCGTCCACTTAGCTCGTTGGCACTGAGTGCCCTCTTTTGCATAGCATTTTATTGGGTTACGGGGCTTTTAGGAGCTTTAGATCTGCAGCGCAGCCGACCGTGGACAGGTACTTAGAAGTGGTGTGATGGTTTTCAGGGTAAAAGTGCTTACGGGATATAAAGGCTGTGGAAGCAGGGAAGAGCAATCAATTCTGCTGTGTGGGAAGACGTAGAAACCTTTGTGGAGGAGGAGAGTCCTATTAGATCCCCAAGGGCGGATGAGTCTGCATTCTCTGCCGAAGGGACTGGTCCTGTCTGCAGGCGCTCCAATAGCCGAGCGAGTGCAAGTGGCCTTCTCTCGTTTGTGCCAGAGGTACCCGAGTCACGAGTAACTTCGCACTCTCTCCCTTCCTTATCCGTTGCAATTGTCCTCAGACCTTGGAATGCACCCACGTCACCGGGAGGGCTAGGGAACAGACTGCACCCTTCCTGGGGGCTTCTCCTAATCAGTCTGGAATGGACCGGACCGAGAGCTGTCCTGCACGGTTCCCAGATGTCTGGTTTGTTGTTTTTTTTTTTTTTTTTTGCGGAACCGGGGATTGAACTCAGGCCCTTGCCCTTGCCAGGGAAGCACTTATTCCCCCAGCTGTCCGGAGGTGGTGTGCTGAGAGCCACGGATGTGCTCCTTGTCCCTGTGTACCGAGCACTGCAGGGTGGCCGACACAGAAGGAGAAGGCACATTCCTGCCCTGACATGGCCTAGGGAAGAACGCAGGGCCAGGCGAGTAAATGCGTGCTGCCGGGACAGGGAGAGGCTCTGCGCTACCCACTGCCCGGAGCAGGGCTGCCTCTGAGGACAGGGAGCTGTCTCAGAACGAGAAAATCCCTCATCCTGAGTGAGTTAAAGCAAAAAAAAAAAAAAAAATTCTATATCATGAAGAATCAGAAAGTAGCAACAAACAGAAAAGTGAGCGTGAATCACGCTTAGCACGGGACTAGTAAATAGACTGATTTTTCAAGTTGCTTTTAGGAAATTTCTGATCAACCTATTTTAGGCAGGCTTTTGCTCATACAGGTTAGAACAACTCGAATTTGAATTAGCTTATGAATAAATGATAGCCTTTCCTTTGCTAATTGGTTCTACTCATTTTTAGCTGTTTTTTTTTTAATGAAGTCAGAGAAAGATGTATATTGTGTGTGTGTGTGTGTGTGTGTGTGTGTGTGTGTGTGTTTAACAAAAGCTGTGAAGGATTTCGCAGAAGAGGCAGGAACAGTGAGAGCTGGGGACAGGTTGGCTCGGCCTGAGCGTGAGCCCACGTGCTGAGTGCATCCATGAGCAGGGAGCTGTGTACTGTGCGTATCAGCTCGCGTGAGGGTGGGATAGTGGTTCTGCCTCAGAGGGCAAAAGCCAGCCTGGAGCAGCTCCGGACCTTGGACCCAGGTGGGGCTTGGCCTGCCTGGAGGAGCTGGTGAGGACTGGCCTTGGGGACACTGGGAGCAGGCGCCTGGTTGGTCCATTGGTCAGGCTCTGTGCCCAGCACACGAGGCACATAGACGCCAACCCTGCCGCCAGCTGGGCTGATCTCGAGGAATGCTGGGCTGTTGTGGAGGTGAAGACATCCTGTCCTGCTGAGGCGTCAGTCCTAGACTGTGCAGCCCCTCCCGTAAAGGGGTAACACCCTTCAGGAAGCAGCAGGACAACCGACTGTCTCTCACTTTCTTTTCAGAATCAAAGTGTTTGGTACCTCAGTTCACAAACTCAGTTTTCTCCATGATTCTGCTTCCAAACTGAACCTGAATCCATCTTAGATGAGAACTGAACCCAATTTCCCCATAAGCTCAATATTGAACCTGACAATTGAATTTGAATCGCTTCTCGCCCAACTCATCTTGCAACCAAATTGTGTTTTTGTAGTGCAGCTCAATTAACAGTGAAATCTGTGCCTTTCCTTAGCATACCTCCGTGGATGAGTACACCGAGCCCCACGTCCCGCCGACCAAGTCGAGCAGCAGGCAGAACATCCCCCGGTGCAGAAACTCCATCACGTCAGCGCCTGACGAGCAGCCTCACATTGGAAATTACCGTTTACAGAAGACGATTGGGAAGGGGAACTTTGCCAAGGTGAAGCTGGCCAGGCACGTGCTCACAGGCAGGGAGGTAAGTGTCCACAGCCCCTGTCACCTGGGCTTCTCGTGTCCTTTGAGAAAGCATTCTTCATAGTTGATGGTGGGGAATAAGCAACAGGTATGGTGCCGTCAGTGCCCGGAACACGTGACTGGGCCGCCGGCAGAAGGCCTGTTTAGTGGTGCAAAAGCTGCCCTTCCAGCGTTCAGGGAGGAGTCCTCCTGACGTGCTGATGTCCCTTAACATGTGTTTTCCTTGGGCTTCCGTCTCCTTACTTGAACTTTGTGAACACTTCTTATCTTGCTACTCTGTCCCAGGAACAAGCTCAGGATAAGTTCTAGTTTATTACTGAATAAAGTGTGTTAGAGATTAAAAGGCAGAAAGATCACTCGCATTTGGTTTCACTTATGTACTTGGTGCAGGGTCTCGCTTCGCAGCTTGCACGCATAGTGATCCTCCTGTTTCCGGCCTCCCCAGCGCTGGAATTACAGGCGTGTGCCCCGGGGCAGGGCCAGTGCAGCATGCAGGACTGGGGATAGAACCCTGGTCCCTGCGCTTGCCAAAGCAGGCGCTTAGTCCGCTGAGCTGTCTTGCCGGTCCTTCCATTTTTAATGTTCAGCAGCACATTAAGAGATGAGGTGATAAGAGAATTGGCAAGAGAATTAGATTCTAAAATCCTGTTTTAAATAATCTGCACTCACACAGCAACACTGTGCCTAACTGCACATGCGTGTGCAGTCATGCCTCGATTCCGGAACACTTGCCCGTGAGCAGTGTCGGGCACAAGCAGAGGCGTCTTGCAGAGTTCTGTGTGTTTGTGAGCAGGGTATAAGATGACAAACCCGGCCACAGTCATCTTTCACACACATGTGGGAGCGTGCCCATCTTTTTCAGAATCATGGAAGCCCACCCTGTATGTTTATGTTCATAGATTGGAGTTAAAGACTTCATTTAAATAAACATTCAGTATTTTGCATTATTTAATATTTATTGGACCTGATTAGGACATTGTTTTAAAATGCTTTTCATTGGGTCTTCTCTTTGTTGTACATCATACCGTTGTCATCTCTGGCTGAATTTAGCCCCTTCCGAACCATTCGGACGTGAGCAGCTGCTCAGACGCGCCTGCTTTAGGCAGAGCCCTTGGGGTGTGCAGATCCCCGCGTCAGTCAGTCTGCGACAGGGAAGCTTGGGATCCAGTTACTCTTCCTGAGTAATTACTTTATTAACATAATTTTTAAATAATTGAAAGTTTATGAACCACCCTCCCCACATTTGTTGCTTATCATGGGTAAAGAGATTAAAATACAGGGTGATTTTTATATTAAAGGAAGAGTCCGAAAGAGCAGAGGCCGGTCTCAGCGGCTGGGGCTCGGACGTTGGAGATAGCTCAGGAGTCCACGCAAGCTGCCAGCTTATCAAAACGTGACCGTCCAGTTGTGTAAATGCTCAGAGTTAAACTGAATGTAATTAGGAATGAAACAAAAGATTTTTCCTTCTGTTTTTATTCATTAAAATATATAGCCTCAAATATAGTTTAATGGTTCTGTTTTTTAGGTTGCCGTGAAAATAATAGACAAAACTCAGCTAAATCCTACCAGTCTACAAAAGGTATTTAATTAATTTCGTAAGTAATTAGAATGTGCTTGTTATTAATGTGCAATGTTATGTGAAGTCAGCCACATGGAACCCTTCCGTAGATACAGCGCTGCGCTTCGTCTGTGTACAGATTTGGGCACAATCCGAAGCGGAGCTCACGACCAGTCAGACAGCTGTTAGCAAAACGCCTGCTCAGGCTGTGTCGCTTCCCTGCGCGCTCAGGACCGGAAGTGTTTCAGATTTCAGAGACTTTTATTAGAGTTTGGACATCTCGTAATGTATGCACCATCTGAGAGGAGTGTGCCTTTTCTAATTAGGTAGGATAAATCTTTGTGTCAAATATTTTGGAGTAGGCAGGATTCTTCTTAGTGAAAAACCAAGTCATGAATTAGCACTGTCCGGAGGCCGTTTCTTTTCACGTCCTCTCTTGGCCTCTCTTCCTGCGTAAGAACTCATCTGCGGCGGCGGCGCTGTAGGCCATAGGAATGTTTCCACAAAGAGCAGAAACTGAAAACAACCGAAAAGAAAGTCCGGCATGGATGTCCCAGGAAGTGGAGCTTTTCTGCTTCATTAATTGTTTCAGTGGGAAGATGTTCTCATATCCACATTTTAGTACCTTAAATATGAAGCAAGTATTTTGGTGTTTAAAGCTTAGTTTGTATATAGTGAGAGATACATTATGATTTTAAAGAATAAATAGGATCAGAGTCACATATGTAAATGTGACATAAAGGACCAGATTTCTAAACTGAGAGATCTCATATGAAAATTTTAATATGGTATGTTTAGCTGCATCTGCCGTAATTCTAACATTAGATTAAAAATTTGGGTTGGTGGTATGAAACCTCAATTTTCTTGGCTCTTTGCTGGGTAACTTGGTGTATTTTTGTATATTTCTCTTTAGAGATCTCTGTATTCTCTTGAATTTTTCTTTTCAATCTGACGACCAACGTAACTTCTCCGGCCCCTTCCCAGGGCTTGAGGCACCCGGGAGGGCGGCGGGGGGCACTGTGCCCCGGGGGGCCTCTGCGCAGCTTTGCCTGTCTGCAAGCGGGGCGACGGGCCTTCCATTACTGCACAGATGCACCCCAGCTGGCTGGAAGACCGGCCCTAGGCCAGCCTTTCTCGGGAAGAGACCACGGCGTGTCATCTCACATTCACAGAATAGGATGAAGCCAGCAAACCTTCCATGTTCTCAGTGCCCCCTGCCGCCCTCCCGGGTACCTCGAGCCCTGGGAAGGGGCCGGCTCCTGACTGTCCCCAGCTCTGCGTGTGACCCACCTCGGCTGGGCACCTTCCTGGGTCAGGCCCCGCAGCCCTGCACTGGCAGAAGCAGCGACTTTGAGCGCTGTGCAGAACTTCTCAGTGGGGTCCCAGGAGTGTAATCCCGACCCCCACGTTATCTCTCACAAGGGCCCACAGAAGGTCATAGAGTGATAGATTTGCTTCTTGAAAGAGAGAACGTGATACTGAGTGTTGCTTTGTCTTAATCACTGAAAGATTTGCCTGGCCTGTGGATGATTAATCGTTTCTGTTAAGAATTGTGCTAATCTTCACAGACAAAATGTGACTTTTCCAAATAGTCGTATGAAGATTGGTGCTCTAACCTGTGACTATAAAAGTGAAGGATGGATTGAGAGTCGGTAAACGTAGCTGGTGTGCCATGTGTGTGTTACTGTTTTTAAATGCTTTATGTTCATAGATATGCTGTCCGTCAAAAAGTTTTTTTAGGGAAAACTGGATGAGGACTTGCCCCGGTCTCGCGGGTGGCGTTCAGCGTTCCCCAGCTGGTCAGGAGAGTTGCAGTCAGTCGCTCTGCTCCGTAAAGGAGTGGAACACAGGAAATCCTCCTGTTTTTCTAGGCACTGTCAGTTGTCTTACAGACAGAAATAGTAAGCTGCCTCCGTGAGACGCTCCCCATGTTACGCTCCCTTCAGAGATTTTCGGTTAAATTTTGTTCAGGTTTGATGTGTTTAAACTGACCCACCCTTGTCTCTGTGTATAACACAGGGACTATTGCCTTCTTACACGAACATCAGCGATAGATAAAAGAATCTAATTTTGAGATGCCAACTGTTTAAAACTAGTAAGATGGAAAGTTCTTAAAATAGCACTTTTTTAAAATAAAGCTGGCTTTAACTTTCAAGGTGAGATTCCGTCCTCCAGGATCCCTCTGAACGTGGACAGAGCTGCTCCTGCACGGCTGGCCGGCCCGCGCGAGTCCCCGCGTCTCCAGCGCCAGCTCCCCCCTCTTCTCACTGTCTCCCTGTGCACCACCCGTGCACGGGCGAGTTCGGTGCTTACCGTGCTGTGACACATTCCCAGCTTGCGCTGAGGGGCGGCAGCGCCGCAGTGGCTTACGGAGTGGCCCAGTGGGTAATGGAACCCAAACATGATGAGCACCACCTGGCGTGGGGTGCTGCAGGACGGGGAGCTCGTGACGCCGTGTGAGAGGTATCTGGCAGGAGCCGGCATGCAGAGACTGTCTGCAGCTGACCTCCTAAAATTGGGCTTTGGTGCACGAGTGTCAGTGCCCCACCGGCTGAACTGCTGTGTGCTCAGGGGATGCCCAGCGGCGGTTGCCAAGCTGTTCATGCTGCCCAGAGTGCCCACAGCATCATCTCCGTCGTGCGTGAACACTGGGTCACCCAAGGCAGAGAGCAGGTGTGATCCCAGGAGCCACACGCAGAGCTCAGCTGCCCTTAGCTGATAGCCCCGCATCGAGTGGGAAAACCAGTCCCGAAGGCTGTGGCACCTACTTCAGCCCGGCAGGGAGTGTGCCGGGCGCATTGCTGAGCAGATTTGTGCGTGGGTGTGTGCTGAGGCGTCTGCGGCTCCCCTTGTGCGTGCTTCAGAGCACGGCGGACCTCAGCTGAGCGGAGCGACCTACATGCTGAGTGGTTCTTTCCTACAGTCCTTGTCGTGTTTGTGTGTGTGTGTGTGTGTGTGTGTGTGTGTGTGTGTGTGTGTAGGAAGAGTTGTGTCCAGTTCTTATGAAGGTCAGTGAAAACCCAGGTGATGGAAGGGCAGTACTTTGTCGGCGGCAGCGATGAAGTCACTGTGGGGTTTGCTGCTGCCGCCTCCCCCCACCACGCCTCCCTTCTCTCCTCACTTGCTTTATTTATGGTGTTCTCCATAATGCTGCTAGCCAATGCGGTTATACAGGTGCTAGAGCCTCGTCTCTGCCCCCTCCATGGAATTCATGGTCGCCAACAAGCATCTGTCTTGATTTATTTTTGAATACAATACTAAAACTAACCATTAGGGCCGGCCAGATAGCTCGGCAGGCTAAAGCACCAGCTTCGGCCGAGTGCAGTGGCCATGGTTCGATACCCGGGCCTGCTGTGCCAGCCCCACTCCCGGGGTATGCTGCGACAGTGAGGAGACTGGGCGTGTTGGTGTGCACCTCTAATCCCCATGCTTGGGACTTGTCCAGCCCAGTCTTTGGGGACAAGTGTCTCAGAGAGGCCAGATCCCTGCCGAGTGTTTCTGGGATGACCTGGATCGTCACCTAGTACTTATTTGTAGCCAACCTCCTGGCTGGGCCACGCTGTGGGTCCCAAGTCCCTACCCGAGGTGCCACCGTGGGTACAGTGCACTCCTCCGAGCTGTCCCCACCCGGTGAACCACATGGAGGGACGCAGTTGTAGTACTTTGCTCCCCTGACCCAGGAGACAGACACGGAGTGTAGCCTAACAGCCAGTAGCAGGGGCTCGCGTTGGCAGCAGCAGAGGAGCCCAGAGCCTCTGGCTCGTCCTCCTTTATTCGCCCAGCCATGGCGCTAGCAGTTAGAGGACGAGGTGCGTCTCCCTCCCGCAGCCCGTTATCGCCCGTGCAGGCGAGCAGCTTCCGCCTGCGCTCACAGGAGCATCAGGCCTTCGCCTTCCTCCGGTCACCATGCTCGTTCTTCCCCTGATCATCCTTTATTCCAACTTTTTTTTTTAACTTAATAGCAATAAAAAACAAAAAAGAAGATGAAGAAGAAATATCAAGATGAGAAGTGTGCATTGTCTTCTGGTCCAGGCTAACTATCACTGAATAGATATGTTTGCTCATTAATTCGTAATCCAACAAATATTGATGAAACGACCGTGTGTCCAGGTACCTCCCCTGCTCTGGCTGGCTTTCCTCTGCTGTTTCCTTGCAGTGGGCTGATTATCTTTCTCTGCCCACTGCAAGTTGGAGTTTTGGAGGGCTTGTTCCTGGACTTCCCCTCCTGGGTCCTCCGGCAGCCTCAGATGTAGCCGTGGCTTAAGTCACCTGGAAGCACGCTCCCGGGTTTCTTGTTCAGCTCAGACCCCAGATTTGCTTGTGCTCTTCCCTGACACCCCATGCTTGTTGTCTCCCAAGCCGGCCTGTGACCCCTGCCCTCCCTGAAGACCCCACACCAGCTGCCCTTCTGGGCCTTGTCAGCGACACTGTGCCCAAGCTGTCTGTGACAGAAACCGCAGGACTGTTGCTCACTTCCTGTGTCTGCGTACAGGAGGTTGAGCCCAGCGCCTCTGCGTGGCGCTACCTTCCCAACCACACCTCTGCACGTTTCAATTCTAAGACAAGCGTCACTGTGACACTGAGTCCCCACGCTGGGCTGAGGCTTGCAGTCCTCCTGCCTCCGCCTCCCAGAGTGCCTCAGGCATGTGCTGTGTGCCCAGCTCTCGGGCCCTCCCCGCTCCCCTTCTCTCCACACTCGCCACCTAACACCCTTGAATCCTGTGGGTTTTCTCACCCATCTTTTTAGAGCTCTTGCTTTTAGGTCTCCATCCTGACCGCTGTGCGCAGTGCCCCGTCATTCCTCCCTTCTCTACCCCATTCCTGCTAACTAATTTTCTGTGTCTACTCTGCATTCTTCCAAGCGTGCATTCACACACGCAGCTTAACAGATCACAGAGGAGGCAAGATTGTAACACACACGCCATGCTAAAAATCACCTCGGAGTCACACTTTCAGAGAAACCGTTCCTGTCCTCTAGAACAATGTGAAATCCTATTATTCTTTCTAAAATCAACCGCTCA